TTTTCCATGGTGCTCTAGCTTCAATTGACTCATGCTTTCAACTATGAAACATACTAAATCTCCACAAAACCCCTTCTGATAATATTTGTAATATCCCAATGAGTAGAAAAATTAGATTTTCTGACGTTTTGGGACTCAGTGTAAGCCACTTTTTCAGAGAACTATTATTTATTCTTTGAATAAGTGGCTTACACTGTGTCCCGAAACGTCAGAAAATCTAATTTTTCTACTCATTGGGATATTACAAATATATTATTCACTCACAATTCTATTTTAGTAACTTTAGTTCATTTTAACTTGTATAAATAATTCAACTTGACCTTAATTGATTGAAATTCAATATCTAACTAGTTCTATTTTAACAAATAATCAAAGATACCGTATATTTGTCTTAATGGGAAAAATATAAAGTTTAAGCAATAGTTGACTAACTTAATTTTCTTTTTGTTACCATTCTAATATTTTTTCTATTTGCAAATGAATGATTCATCATATAACAGAAATTTAATTTAATTTATTAAAATGATCATATATATATGATGTGTGATACTTATGTCTTTTGACATAATTGGAAAACTTGTCATCAGAAAGTTGAAAAAGATCGAGTTGAAAAAAACAGAAACGGAAAAGAGAAAAGAATTGTGAATTGGAAGAATCATACAAAATGTAAAAGACAAATGATAGAAGATTTAAAAACAAAGTGTGGTGTGGTCTACTTATATCCAAATAAGTAATATATGGTGATGGTCAGACATAGAATGTATTTTGGCACAAGATCGATAAGGAAAGAACAGGAACTAAACGCAATCGTTACGAAAATGCATTAGCAATGAAATCAGAGAAGATGGACTGATATTTGCAAAAGGAACAGTTGAGATTGAGACAACTAATAGTTATTTCGAAAATTCACTATTTACTGTATGGTTATCAGAATTTAGTGAGATAATCTGTAATTTGTGCTTCAATACATTTGATTGTCTCCACTCGTGTTCTTGTTCGCTACACATTTACCTTTTAAATCGCTCAAATTTCTTGGAACCAACGTATCATCAATATTGTTTATTACAACTCTCAGTTTAATTGTAAACATTAGTTTCATTACGAACTAGATATATTTAATTGATTACTAATGAAATGGTTGGTTTTTTTATTTACAATCCATACCATTCAATATATGTGAACATTTCAACTTTACCGTATCAAGTACGGATCAGACAACTTTATACTTAATTTCATACGATGGTATTTACTTATTCTTTTTGTAAACAAAAGTTATTAGAGCTCTTACACTAAACAACTGATATGTATATTATATAATAATAGTATATGTAATAGCATGATAACAAGTAAATGTTCATCGCCATATAGATAGATACCTGTAATTTCTTAGAAAATAATAATGTGTATACTATTTTTGTGTTGAATAGTCACTACACCCCAGATGGATTTATAAAATTTTCAATGAATAATCAGGTTCCATGAATTCGAATCATATCAAAAGTAAAACAAGTGTCATAATTACCTCTAGAAGATTATCATACTATATTGTGGTGTGATTATCAATGGAAATGCGAACAATTACATTTTAAATAAGTGGTTTAAAGGTATCTGGCTTTGCTGTGAGACTTATGATTCTTGCATTCAATTTTGTGCTTCAGACAAGGAATAAACAATTATCTGATACACTTTGATTTCAAATGATCCTCTAACTGACTTCGGTCTACAGTGAAAATTATCTTCAAATGGAATCATTCAATAATGATCATTGGAAAAACGCATATATGTATATACATATATATAATGTCCTGATTCATTATTCTTTATTTTCCCAATAAATTATCATAAATAATTCAAACAAATAAACTTTAACTCAAAAAGTGAATTTCATAGTTCTATTTTGTGTCTCTTTTCTTTTATATTGAATTATTTTCATTCAATTTGTTTCTTTATAGAAAACAAGATTAAATTAAAATTAGTTTTAAAAAAACAACAACTTGTTAGTCATCATCCTCATCACCATCATCGTTATCTAAAATAAATTTAGGAAAGTTTGTTTATTTTTGTCAAGTGTTTTATAAAAATATTCATTATTAAAAGTTAACTTGGTTTTGTTTATTACAAAAATGTATCAAAATGTTTTACTATTTCTTAAATTTTCTTTTTTCTTTTTTTTATTCTTTTCTTAAATCAAATTCGTTAATTTTTCTTTTTTTTTGGTTGCCAAGATTATTTTTTTGTATTTTCATTCTACCTATTAAGAATAAATAAAGTAAGAATGATCACAAAGTAAGAATGATCAAGTATTTCATAATTCTGATCATAGTGTAACGAACAAGAACACGAGTGGAGACAATCAAATGTATTTAAGCACAAATTACAGATTATCTCACTAAATTCTGATAACCATACAGTAAATAGTGAATTTTCGAAATAACTATTAGTTGTCTCAATCTCAACTGTTCCTTTTGCAAATATCAGTCCATCTTCTCTGATTTCATTGCTAATGCATTTTCGTAACGATTGCGTTTAGTTCCTGTTCTTTCCTTATCGATCTTGTGCCAAAATACATTCTATGTCTGACCATCACCATACATTACTTATTTGGATATAAGTAGACCACACCACAATAGTTATGTTTATGAAGAAGATCAAATAAGCTAATTTGACAAAGTGATGGAATTATGCAAGTTTTAATCGTTGAGAGTTTTTGTGAAGTTTATTTGTGTGTATTTAATCTTTTTTAATACTTGCCAAATTTTTGTCAAATTGTTCTTTCAGTTATTGATGAATAGCCAACAAAGTAAACAGATGTAAGAAATTTTCAATTAATCAAAATTTGATTTATTTAAAGTTCTCTTGTTATAAAATTAATTTAAAATTGTATTGATCATTTTCCGATTAATGAGTTTCTGCTGTAGGTTAACATTTGAAGTTATACATTTTTAATGTACATATAAACTTACTGTTTAGGAAATGTAGTGTAGAGATAAGCGGTAGGTAAAGCGAGGCAAAACAAGGACAGCATATTTACAATAGAAAACCATCTGGAACTCAAAACAATTGTCAACCAACACCAAAATCAGAATTTTTAATACAAATGTCAAGTCAATTCTATTGTATGGTGTGGAAACCTGGGGAACTATGAAAGCTATCATTTAGAAGATACAATGGTTCATAAACAGTTGTTTAAGCAAAATACTTCGGATCCGTTGGCCAGGCACTATCACCAACAACTTACTGTTGAAGAGAACAAACCAGATCCCAGCGGATGAAGAAATCAGGAAGAAACTCTGGAAGTGGATCGGACACACATTGAGGCAAAGCACCCAACTGAAATACAACGCAAGCCCCCACTTGGAATCCTGAAGGCCAAAGGGGGGGAAGACCGAAGAACACATTACGCCGAGAAATGGGGACAGATATGAGAAGAATGAACAAAACTTGGATAAAGCAAGAAAGGAAGGCCCAGGACAGAGTGGGTTGGAGAAAGTTGGTCGGCGGTCTGTGTTCCATTGAGAGTAACAGGCGTAAGTAATTAATTAAGTAAGTATAGTGAATTCATGAGTTTTTTTCAAAGTTTCAGATAAAATTAACACATACGTTTACAGTATTTCAATCAAAGTTTTCAACAACTATTCAACAAACATTTCTCTATTTGAATGTTTTGTGTTTGGGGATGACTAGTTATATATCTTTATTTGAACAGTTTGTAATTGAACCACTGAGCAAATACTGTAATCTCCACAAAAGCCCTTCTGAAAATAACTAATTGTATGAGAATATTCATGCTAGTGTATTATGTCATATTATTTATTTATATTATGTGTATGGTTAACAATGTTCACCGTTTTGTTAATGACTTATGCCTAACCTTACGATTACAGTATTTCAATATATATTACATGATGAATTATATTCCTGACCATTTAAGTTGACAGTTTCTTATCAAAATATAATCTAACTTTTCATTACTATTGTTATTGAGTAACCGATGATTTAATTGTTATTCTTTTATTGAATTTTTTAGTAACATTAACAGTGTTCCTCGTTCAAATTGAAAGATCTAAATGAAACTTTATCTGTATTAACCTATCGATTAAATGTTTGATACATAGAGCTGAAATGCTGACCGATTACCAATATTTTTCGATACATAATTTATTATAAAATAAATAAAAAAGACACTTATTATTCTTTTTCTTTAATAGTTGAAATCATGAGTCAATTGAAACTAGACCACCATGGAAAACCTGGAAGCACTGGACAGCCGTTTTATCCTATTGTGGGACTAATGAGAAGCAGTCTCCAGTGAAGTTCAACCAGGTCTGTTGTGAGATACCAACTCATTGAAGACAATGGTCGATGTGTCGCTCAATTTCGTAGATCGTTTGAACTTGAACATTAACACCGTTGGTTGCCAGTTCAGTGGTCTAGAGGTTAAGCGTTCGAGTGCGAGACAGTTAGGTCTTGCGTTCGAATCTCAACAGGCGAGATCATGGATGCGCACTGTGAAGGAGTATCATACTAGGACGTAACGGTCTTCCAGTGCTTCTAGGTTTCCCACGATGATCTAGCCTCAATTGACTCATGGTCTCAACTGTTAAAAAAATTACCATAATATCCACAAAAACCCCTTCTGATACTTAATATTCTCTGTCGAATATCACCCTTTATTATTTCTTTTTTTATTCGTACAAAGAAAAAAAACAGTAACAACAAGTAATAATAAGTACTTGCAAATAATTTAACCACATTAATTAATCATGGGATAAAAATAAATTAAGCCTACATGTATAATTTTAATTTATTAATTATTATAGTCTATTCATTTACGTCAATATAATTTACCTAAACTAAGACATAATGATAATAATTCATTTCCGGATATTTTTGTCAAAAATTAGTTTAGAAATAAGTAGTATATTTATAAAAAAAATGAAAATATATTAATCAAATGTTTTAAATTTTTTTGTTTAAAAAAAGAAAACCTTATTTAATTTTTAGCTTATATGAAGAATATCTGTTACGACATTATAATCAACATTTTATGTAAAGATTGTATGAATACAGAAGAAAAGTAGATGATGTAAACATCAATGATTTAAATAACACATTTTTAACACTTATTTCTATATTTATTTATTAGTATATGAATAAATCATTTTTGATGGTCAATTGATTATGTGATCTTTCAATACATTTTAGAGCTTGACTTTAATATCAGAAAAGGTTTGTGGATATTATAGTAGTTTTAATAGTTGAGATCATGAATCACTTTAAGCTAGACCACCATAGGAAACGTGGGATCGTGGATGCGCACTGCCGAGGAGTCCCACAATAGAACAAAATGGCCGTACAGTGCTTCCAGGTTTTCCATGTTGGTCTAGCTTCAAGTGATTCATGAACTCAACTATTAAAATTGACGTTAATAGTTAACCGAGTGATTAGTCAATAATTCAGCTAAGTTGGGTCGTTATATCTTGCCTACAATTCATCATTTTTTTCATCAAAACGTAGTTCACAAGTAATCACAACATTAAATCTACAATTCACTTACAATAGTAATAAATAGATAATAAGGTCCCAACGGAAATAAGAAAGAAAATATAGAGATTAAAATCTCAATTGTTTTAGATTACTATTTGATAAAGCCAATAAAAATACATAAAATCATTGATAGTTCAAATTTAATCAAAATATCACCATTAAGATTTTTGATCAAACTTGAGGTCTTAGGTTCAAATAATCTTTGATCTGTGATTTTTTAGAATTCAAATAAAGTAACTCATTTAATTAATTCTTCAACAAAAGAATAATGAGATTCAACAAAGTTACAGAAAGTATCTAATTTTATATAAACATCATGATAAGCCAAACGATCTGACAGAATTAAAGTAATTACAAGACAAAGAAGTAAACTAAACATTTTTACCAACTAGAAAAATATGCAATAACAAAAATTTTTCAATTTTATTTCAAACGAGTATTATTCGTGGAAATAGATTTCAGAATTGGCGAAAGTCATCACAGAACTATTTTACATTATATAGTGAGGAAAATAACATTGGTCGAGTTACCTGCAAATTTTGTGTCCTTCAAATGTTCATGTTTTCTGTATAGGGTTGTAGAGATTGTTGAGTTTTTGATTATGATCATGAATCGATCAGTGTTAGACCATCATTAAAAACCTGGAAGCACTGAACAACATTTCAGTATGAACTACCCTGCTGAGGAGTTCGTGTTTTCAGTGATATATCTATTTCTATTTTCATATTATATGACTGAAAATATTCAATTAAATATTTTTGACGAATAAAACTAATAAGAATTATGGTGTTTTATCCTTTGTTTCTCCATAATACTTTTCCATATTCACGATAATATGTCACACGTGATTACGAGAGTGAAAACGAGCATTTTATTCTGGTCAATTTAGAAAATAATAGAATCTCCACATGAAATACGATTTGTTATAAAACCACTGGAATTATATAAAGACTCAGCATGCTGGATAGTATGTCGTTCAAAATGGAACACTTTCAGTTCAGTAATCTGGGGGGAACTAAAAGATAGATGGAAATTGAGAAGTCTGTTAGCAGATAACTAAACTCACCTTCATTTTGTTGCGTTTTGTCTTGATATGAGCGATACTTTTATAGTCACAAAAATCAATAGCGAAGCTCACAGCATATTAGAAACAGATGATAGAGTCCACAAGGCAACCACTTCCACAATCGAAGAAGAAACATATGACACAATGTCATAGCACAATGTCTATTATTGAGAATCCGAAGCAATCTACATAAAAAGGCAAATAATGTTCAGCGATTTTCAATACGACCATGAAATGAATACTTGTGATTAACTGACGGGTCGCCAATGGAAACCATTAGAGATCTAAAGATGAGTTTTTTATCAAGCAACCTTAAAATATATTGATTTTGTTATTATAAGTGCTCATTTACTAGAAGATCTAACGTCCCACGATGAAAAGTGATGACTAAAAACAATCAGCATTTATATATATATATATATATATATATGCTGACAAGTGAGAATTTTATCTGATAGATAAATACTTTGCAACAAACCATCGACACCATCACTTACTGGTTTACAATCTAATAACTACTCTCGTTTTATTCGAAATCATGTTATCTTCAACTGTAGACATGGTCTTACATCGATTGATTCATGATCTCAACCAAAAACTTTACAATTTCCATCCAGCTAATGAATATAAACCTACTGATGCCGTGATTTACATTTAAACAATGTCGTTTATTCACCAGCAAATCAATTTCAATTACATCAAAATGTTGTTGATGAATGGTACACTTCACTTAGTTTGCTTTCGTTTCATCTAAGCCATCTAATTGTTTTCAAATTTTTATTTATGCTTACTGATCTCATTGACTTATGTATTTCTACCTTTGGTAAAAGTCAACAATGACATATGAAGATAATCAATATGTATATATATATATATATAACCGATTCGATCCAGTAGTTGCTTTGGTAGGTATTTTTGTATCGAAACTAATGTATAGATTATGTTGACATAAATATTTGCTTAGTTGTTGAGCTTTATAGAAAATTCATTTTCATTATTTTTATCAGATATTGCAACTGAAATACTGAAAATAAGGGGAACTGAGATAATATTGTTGTTTACCTATTAACGCATATACAGTCTGTAGGTCAAGTGGTGATTATAATACAAAGCGACATTGTAAATGACAATCATTTCATACATAAGACGAAGCTGGTACGCCAGATACTATTTTATTATCAAAGATTTGAGAAATCCACTTTAGAAGTCAACTTTGGTAAGAGAAGTAAATATTATGAGTTTGATAGATTGTAGGAGTCGTGTCTTTAAATAGGTGTAAGATAAGTTGGATAACGGAACTTTTACGTTTTAGTAAACAGGAAAATATTCAGTAAAGTGAAATAAATAAGATAGCAATTTTTACATAAGCAACCTGTATGCTGCTAATAAATTTATTTTGATTATCGGACACACTTTGTCTCTAATATCATCCACAAGAAAAATACATTCAAAGTTTCTACTTTAACTCTATGGCGAGTTCTTGCTTGTTCATGTGCTATACAATTATAATATGTCTTTTTCGATCAAATGTAATTTCACTTGATCTTTTATATTTACAACAGAAATCTGTACTAACTAGACACTGTATAAAAGACATAAATTTAATAGCTTAGTTGCTTTGCCTTTCAGTCTACTTTATCAGTTTAATACCCTCAGACTACTTCTCTAATACCTATTATCTTCCATCTGATTATATTGCTAAGGAGTTCTGAAGATTCATGAAGTTTTAAGATGATTTCTGCCGCAAAAAAAATACGAAGGTAAAGGAGGATTAGCCGATCTGTTCTTCTTGATGATGCGTGACCACAATTCAAAATGAGATCAAGACCAATACTTTCACATACTATTATAATTCAATCGTTTAGCTTTTCTATTTCAATCAGTTTACGTTACACTGAGATGGCCAGGTAATAACATAGTTACGGTCCAGCACTGTAGGTTCTGGTGAGAACTCCGAGGAACTCACTTAGAACCGACAATTTAGTGTTTATTCAACATCATTATTACAGACCTACTAAAAATTCATCAAGATACTAATGAAACAAACAACTGATTAACTCAGACTTTTCAATCGTATATCGAAACAAAACCCTATTTACAATCATCCCGATTATATTAAGACTTTACAGTGACTATTTAATAATTGTAAAAGTCAAACACTGTAATCAGAACATGAAGCTTCAATCACAAACAAATTACGATTTTTTTTAAAAAAATATTCACTTCGAAACAAAAAACCACTGTAATAAAAAAAGATAAAACCAAGATAAATAAGAAATATGTTTTTTAAAAGTAAATAATTGAATAAATGAATGATTCATCATCACCATCTATATTATGGTCAACAATTGAATCGGATAAACAAAACAAAACAAAATAACATGTGTCACCAACACTCATAAACAGATAAACATTTTGAATGAAACCACTTCAGATATATATAAATGTATTTACGAAATTGCAGTTTGTATGCATGTATATTTGTGGAATGTCACATACACAAACAGATATGTATTGTATATTAAAAGAAATATGAAAAGAATATTGTTCTGTTTTTTAAAAAAAAACACCACCCCATACATAATATAATGTTTTCTTCACAAAAAATATTTAGATAAACAGGACAACTAAAAAGAAACAATTAACAGAAGCAAAAACTGTACATGTTGAGAGTACTATTGTTAATATTATATTAATATTATTATTAGTGGTTATAATAAATAGTGAAAACATCACAGAACTGCTGCAGAGAGTGAAGTTAAGAAGAGGAAGCATAAGACAGAGATGTATAACTGAAACAATCCTATTGTTGTTATCAATTATATCATATAACTAACTAATAAACCAGAAGATAACTGACTTTTAATTAACTGGCTAAAACTGTACAAGGTAATACTATTAATAATTAGTTTTTATTTGTTCTCATTTCTCGATTTCTTAATTATTATTTATTTTCCTGTTTTATACACAATAAATCGCATATAGCTGTTACATGCTGAGAAATTATATCGTAATCAATTAAACCAAGTTGAATGATTGACATACGACTTCTAGCGCTTGATTTACGCCCTGAACGATTTGTACTGATACGTTTTAAACTGATTTGCATGTCATTCAATTTTTTCACTGTATTCATAATGGATAAATCCTATAAAAATAAAAAACAAAAAAATTAGATATAAAATAAACTACAAAAAGCACCTCGTGACATCATAGGAATTTTGTTGAAAATAATTTTAAAAAAACATACACTGAGATATTTTTTTTCTTAAACGTTTAATATCTTTTATACTGTCAATACATCAAGAATAAAACAACAGTCAATTGATATCGGTTAAATAGACGTCTTTAAAATACGATCATTTTAATCATTCACAAAACAAGTTGTTTATTAAGTTTGCACATTAGAGATTTTCATTGAACTAATAATGACTTTAAAAAGAAATATTTAATTTCACAACACGTGATTTTTCAACAAAGTAATAATTAGTAGTATTAGGATTGAACTATCTAACTTGTAAATTCGAACTTCAGTTTATCGATTACCGAGAAGTTTCTAGCAAATAATGTAGCTAATAAGTGGGTGAATATATTTATGCTTGATGAGTTAATGTAATTAGCTACGAAAAACCATTTACAAAATGATATAATTGGTGTTTAGGTAATAAGACATGAAATTTGTAGTTTCTTCTTCACAATGATATTTATATATATAACAAAATAAAGCCCGAAGTCGCCCTTAGTAACATAACTAGTAATCATAGTTAAGAAGGTTTGTTATTAAAAACAAAGGGACTTCATGTTGTTTTAGAATATATATATGGAAATATCAAGTATTAAATGGCTGAATGTTAGTTATAGATAGTTAATAATCCAAAATATATCTGAAAACTCATCAATATTCTTGAAAAACTGGGTGCTTTTTAAAGTAAATTCGAACCCATATCACTCAGAGATATGATTAAAATGCTGTTACTGAATAATTTGGACGGTGATTAACATTTGATAAGATTGAGTAACTAAAATTACAATCTGTATAAATGCTTTAACATAAAATTAATGTTTTAGGCTTTGTGCCAAGTCCTTAATCACGCTGAAACACTATATACAGTGGATTGTTAAATGTTAATTCTTCTAGTTTAGTGTCTGAACGCCAAGGTTAATCAATGTATGTTGAAGAATGTCTGAGGCTTAATATTGAGAAATCAGCTACTATTTTATAACTAGTTAATTCAAGAATTATTTCTAAAAGTGGAAGATATCTTATGTTTTACGGTAGTAGGGTCTAAGGTTGTATTTTAAAAAAAGACCTGCAATATAATGATGAACATAAGTTATAATAATGAAAAGAACTTACTTTACGTATACGATGGTGTGAAATACAAAGAGCTCGTAATGCAGCTAATGCAGCTTCTTGTACTCTTCGATCACCATCTAAACATCCAGTCTCTAGAAGCCTATCAGAAATAGTTTGTCAGATTAAAATTGTCAAATGTTGAATAAATATAATACAATTTATTATTATTATTGGTTTAACATCATCATTAATCTCCCAAATACATGATTCAGTTCGCATTCATCCCACATTATTATTCCTTACTAATTCAATACATATTTTTTACACATTATAGTCTTCCATTAAACATTTGATAGAATTTGCAATTGCACTGTTATTTCTCTCACTCTATCGGACCCATATTTATTCTAGCCATCAATCTGATAATTTCATTTAACCTGTAAACCTATTCAAGTCAACACTTCAACGCAATATTAACCATCTCATAGTATTTCACAATCCTAAATTCATGTGTTACAACTTTAAATGATGTACTTGTCCCTTAACCTGGTCATTTTTTTTAATTATTAATTTGGATATATAATTGTAGAATGTGAAGAGAATTAATTGGAAAGAATATTCTGCGTTTATATGTCTGTATCCTTTCATATGATGAGGATTTTTGAACAACAAAAAATAATAATTTAACTACTATTTATTCTGAAGAAATGACAGTGAGAAATCGAACTAATCTAATTGAAAATATACAGCTCACTATTTCAGATAATAATAAAAACATTTTAATTTTATAGGTGTCATTACCAAGGTATCGTTTTAAATAAATTGAGCATTAGATAGATTGTCATTAATAAAAATAATATATTTGTAATTAGGCTTTCAAGTTTTCTGATGTTTCTTAACTTAATGTAAGCCAGTTCTTCAGAGAATAGAATTTTAAAGAAGTGGCTTACATTAAGTTACGGAACGTCAGAAAATTTCAAAGCTTAATTTTCCTACTCATTACAAATATATTTTTTAATAGATTTAATCTTATGTTGTAAGGTGAACACGACCTCAGTAGACATGCGTGTTTGTAAGTTTCGAATGAAAACAAACCAGAAGGTAATTTTTGTAATAACTGAGTTAAGTAGGAAATAACTGACAATAATATAATTTTAAACCATTTCTAAATAAGCCAGTTGGATAAACAGTAGGAGGCTAGATAAACAGAGTCATCTCATGATGTCTAGTAAAATAACGTGTAAAATGAAAAGAGAAAAAAACTATGAAATGTAACATTTGTGTGACAATCCAATATCTTATGACAGATCTTGAATGGAAGAACGTTGACTAACATATCAGGTCAATTTAAGTAATGTATTCCAAAAGTTTATTTCGCTACACTTCTATATAACATACAGTGAGAGAGAAGAAATCAGAATGTAAAGAACCAGATAGATATATGAATCAACATCGAACAATTAGGTATAGGAAAAGAAACAAAGTAATCTGAACGATTTAATTAATACCGAAATGATAATTTTAGATGCGGTCAAAGCTCTCTAAATGAGAAACGTTTATCTGAGGTCGACCTATTTTAATACATAGTTTATGCACGACTGAGATCATTGTTTACTAAAAGTATCCCTTAAGTCTCATTAAACCTGATGGATTGTTATTTGTCAATCTCTAGGCATGAATACAAACATGTTTCGTCATTCTTAGATGTTTATCGGTGTGTTTGAAGAAAATCATGATTAGCACAGCTCAGTCATGATGTCCATATGTGACATTAACTGATCACAACTCAATTGACAAAAAGCATTTTCCTAATCATAGGACCACTTATACTCGGGTTTCAATACTATGTCGGCTTACATGAAAGCACACTACTGAAAACTACTTACCTAAGATAGAAAAGTCGTTCAATGTTGCATGGTTTTCTATAGGTCTGTAACTGATGTCAACCCTTTATGATAACTATTTCCACTATCAATATTACATATTGTAAGGATAAATGGCATTTATGTGAATGTTTTTTTAGTCAAATTAAATGTGAGTCAAGTTTTTCTTTCCCTTATTTTTTTAGCTTCGGAGAACAACAGGTATTTACTTATGCCCTAAAGTTAATCAAGGGCATCAATATCTGAACTTGGAAGAAACAACTATAACATTGAATAAACAAACTACACGTAAAGTTATAGTTCAGTACTACGAGTAAAATAAAGTTATGAATAAACTACTTAGGCAACTTTGTACACGAAAAAAATGTTATTTCGGAACAAATCAGATTAACTTTGTCTCACTATTTATTAAACCTGTTCGTCTACTCTATGCATGTGTATTTAGGTGAGATATACAGCCTTAGTGAGCTGAACGCATAATATATTTTCAGTTCTATTGTAAGACATATCACTTTACATGTGAATAGAAAAAAATATAGGTCGGAAGATTATTTATGTTTTTTGTCTGATTGTTTTATTTTGGTTAAAGAATTATCAATATATCTATCGGTCAATTGAAAAACAAATTTAATAATTCATTTATTTTCTTAGTTGAAAGCATGAGTCAATTGAAGCTAGACCACCAAGGAAAACCTGAAAGCACTGGACGGCCTTTTTGTTCTATTGCGGTACTCCTCAGCAGTGCTCATCCACGACCTTTCCTCGCGAGATTCGAGCATGGGACCCACCAGTCTCGCGCCAGAGCACTTAACGATAGACTACTGAGCCAGCATACGATGGTGTTAATATATAACTTCAACCAATTAACAGAAAACTGATCAAAACCTTTGATAGTCATAATTTTCTTTATATATATATATATATATATATATATATATATATATATATATATATGCATGTATGAAGGAAACGAGAATTTGACTTTTAAAAAGTCGTTTCCACGACGAAAACTGTGAACTTACGCGTGGAGAACTTTATGTTTACATACTGAATCATACAGTTGGTCTATGTGATAACATATATTCCCAAGACAAGCTAAAAAGAGAATAAATAAAATGCATATTGAAGTCACCAATGACGTAACTGCTAGTATAATAATAATAATAAAAACATTGTATATAAACAGATCGATATTGTATACTATAATATTCGGGGTCTGTTGAAAATAGAAAAAAATAAAATGGAAAATCCAATGATTCGATATGCATTGGAATTTTAGTTTAACACTTAAGAAATGTAAACTGTATCCTACTAATGACATTCATTCGCAGATTAAGTGAATAGGTTCATTGATAAATTACAAAATGGTCAATATGAGATTTTTTTCATGATACAGTACAAACATCAGTAGAGGAATTCTGACTATTACTCTATCTCTTTTTGAAGAATATAATTTTTAATCAAATGTTAATATTACATTGAAATTCCGAAAGTATTACCTTTTATTGATTGAACATTACGAAGTTTTACTCTCTAATATGTGATGATATTTTGATATAAGATGAATACATAAGTAATTTAAATGCACAGTACAAAAATTGTATAGTTTATTCTATACACTACATATACATAAATATGAATATGTAACACGTTTTATTACTACTAATGGCTTTATTCAATATTATATTATTTGGTACAAAATAGAAGTCTCAGCACAAAGTATTTCAAAAAGTTTTTCTTATTTCTTGATGGATCCTGACGGTAAATATTGAGTGATCACTAGTTACTTGTTAGCAGTTTAGGAATCCACATCTGAATAATGGTCATTCTTTTTTAATGTATATTGTCAGTCATCGCGATATCTCTGATTGTACTCTTTTGTCACTTGTACAGCGAAAGGTCGTAAACGTTTTATAATCGCGGCTTAATAGTTTATGCAATTAATGGACATAATGATGTGTTATAACAAAGAAGAAACAAATAACTTGTTGAAATCTCTAGATGACAGGAAGAGGTAGTCTAGATATTCAAGCAGGTCATTTACATATTTGAAAACATAAACATTGGTTTAAGAGAGGACCAAATACATGTGCTCCACACAACAACATTGAGGCCAGTAGCATTTATCATTGATATATGTGAGGGATGGGATAGTCCCCGTGTGCCCAAACCGAAACAGGTAGTTTCCTTATGGAGCCACACCCGGAGCCTTCAAACTAAAGGTCTGATCCACAAGGCAATGAGGCAAAGTCAGGAGATGCAGTCCGATGGTAGCCGGTGATAAACAATTTGTTTCTTCAGGGTCCTGGAGCCCATGTGCACCCGGTTAGATCACCGAACGTTCGTTTTTCAAAAAGTTTATGCAATTAGTTCCTTTTATGAATTTAAATAAAGCCAGAACAAATATTGATGTAGAATAATATGAATCCACTATATTTCGTGATTTCTCGTCAGCTGTTTACAACCAAATATGTATTAGAATTTTAGCATTGAGATAATAAATAGTGTGGAACAATTGACATATATGGATGTGAAGGACTGGAATGACTAAAGGTTATCAATGATAACTATATATATATATATATATATATATATATATGCAAGAACAATTCAGAGGTTATTAGGTGTTAGAATCAATGCAACATAAAAAATGGGTGGTGTAATATTTGAGTGAATTTCAGACTCAGATAAGATAAACTGTTTCATAATTTCAGAGGTAATAAAGGAATCATGGAATTAAAAACAAATAGGATGGGTTACGTAATATTCGAACAGAATTTGAAAAGTTCACATAATTTATATTGCCTTGATTGTAACACCTAATAACCTCTGACCTCTTTTGCATATATATATATATATATAGTTATCATTGATAACCCTTAGACATTTCAATCCTTCGCTTTTATTTATGTCAATTGTTCCACATTATTTATTATCTCAATGCTAAAATTCTAATACATATTTTGTTGTACGCAGCTGACGAGAAACCATGAAATGTAACGAATTCATATTATTCTGCATCAATATTCGTTCGCTTTTCGTCCTCTCAATTTCGTAAACAACACCCCTGGAGCGAAAAGACAGTGAGTAGGACTTCCCTGGTAGTACATACGCCTGGTCATACGAGAGCATTTCGAAAAGAGCGGACTCTACCTACCCTCGGTGGTACCAGGGTATTTGGGGGCCTTCGACAGGCTTTCAAGCACGCCGCCGAATGTAAGTTACACAGAATATACGGGACAAACTAATTTAAACATGTATTATTCAAATGAATAAGAATAGAAATTATTTAAAATGATTTCTGAATCGATTATCTCCAATATAAGATTACAATAACTTTCTACACTTTATGTACATTTATCATTTAATTCATCTGTAAACTGGCTCAACAGACTAATCACGAAGATCTAGAATCATTTATTCACATGTTAACCATTTGCAAATCTACTTACAATAAACATCCTATTTCACATTATCCGCGAATAGACAAAATGAACAGCTAGTTTCTGTCTGATAAGACAGTTATCCACGTATATATATCACAGTAATCATACACACCTATATAACATATACATCTAAAGTGTAACATTTACATTGAATTAACAAACAAACTACAAATATTACAGGGTACCCAATTTTAATATATTTCAAAAGAATAGTCATTAATTTCAACGTTTGTTTTCTAAAAAAGAAAAAACCTTACTAGCAGCATTTGTTCGAACACGAGATGAACTATCTTCAGTTAATAGTGAAACAATTCTTGGTAAAGCAGACACAATATTCATACATAATTCATTAGATAAAAATAATACATTACCAATGATTAATAATGCATATTGACGAATCACTGAACAATTATGTTGTAAATGTTTAATACAGATATTTAATGGTTTATCAAAATACCATGTTAAATATTTCACATCTAAAATCGATCGTGTTCTTGATGATAATACTGATGATGAGAATGATGACGATGTTGTTGATAAATATTTACGTTTTAATATTGGACTATTAGTTGAAGTAAATTGTGGACGACAAATTTGATGACATTGTAGTTCATTTGTAAAATGTGGTAGAATTTCACACATATTAGATTCACTGTACATACATAACATTAAATTATTAAGTAAACTTAAACCGTGTACAATTAATATAACATGAGAATCTTCAACAAAGTTGATTAAGTTCTGAGGAGTTTGTACACCTAGAAAAAAATGTAGAAAAATAGTTTAAAAAAAAAGATAAGCCAAAATAATTATTGCATCCCTTTTACAGAGGTCATAACAGGTGAATGATACACTAATTATATGTTTGTTTTGTATTTATCGATAGGCAGGTAATAAACTGTCTACACATTGAATGAATCAAAAAGAACTATGATATAACTAACACATTTTTATACTATATAGCCGGTTAAACCGTCATTTATTAAAGAAGTATGTCATAAAGTTATGTTCAAAATACGAAGTACATACTGAATACATTAACTCGACTATGACATATTTTAAACAATCTTACCCAATTTCTTGAACAAAAGATTACATTAATCTCATAGACCGCGATTCGTGAGTTTTCTTAGTTTAGTTCGACAAATGATAACTTGATCAACTTCCGTCATTTAACAGTGACTAAACTTTTCCCAGTCTATTAAAAAAATAGTGTTTCAGATCTATAACACGTATTGGAATCATTTTTATTGATGAAGTTTGTGTAGATTATAGAATCACTAACTGAACTTAGCTAAACACAATTGAAAGCTGCAAAACACTGGATAGCAGCTGCATTCAACGTACGGCCATATTAGATGCGAAACAGTTGTCCATCACACCGAAAGGTCGCATGGTATGACGAATCCATTCAAACTAAGCACGAACATCAATGGAAGTGGAATCAACGGTCTAGAGGTTAAGCGTTTAAGCAGGGAACCGGGAGTCTTGGTTTCGGTCCTCGGTTGGATCATGATTACACTGCTGAGGGGCCCCATACCAAAAAGAAATACCTATCAAATGCTTCCCGGTTATGACTAATACCTAATTCATTTAACAATACTTAATGCTAGTTTTTGGAATAACCAGAAATTGCAAAATATACACTGATTTATAGTAGAAAACTATATTTCTTTGACGCAACAAAGATTCATCCAATGAATTTTTAGTTTCTAAATGGACTGGTTTACAAAAGATTTCACGCTACGTATATACTCATACATATCCGTTTTTCTCAAGAATAATAGTTTGAAAACATTTATGATACGAACAAATTACAGTCTGCTTCGATGTTTTAACGTCAATTAGTATGGAAACGTTTGCACCATCGTCAAAATATTAAGAAAATAATCATAACCGACTATATAAAAGTGGATTTATTACCTAAATTTCAAATTTATTAGTCGTAATTCTCTGATAGATCAAAATATTTTGAGAAAACAACAAATAAAACACCCCTTTCAAGCATTCCTGTTACAAATCTTGGTAATTGATATGCACACATGAATGAAACCAAATATATATACGCAACATGGGCAATTACTTGATGTGAACATGATACTGCGATATGCAAATTTTTTTAAATGAAAATCAATTTAACTATGATTTTAATTGAGATCCATTACCGATAAATGTTAGACCACCACTAAAAACTTGAAAGTACCGAACGAGCATTTCGTCCTAGTATGAGCTCCTCAGCAGTGCGCATCCACGTTCCAGCACACACGACTCGAACCAAAGATAGCTGAATCAAGTCCCAACAGTTTCAATACGTAACTTCAATCAATTCACGACATTGTGCGACCATCTTCTAGTGCCTTTGGTGGGTAAATGCTTCACACCGGACACAGCTCAACTTTATAGGTCACGGCTTCTCCTTGAAATTCCATACTAGGACGAAACGACTATCAGAGTTTTCAATAGTGGTCTAACGTTGATTGGTTCACAATCTCAATTAAAACTCAACAATCTCTATAACCCTATAATGTTATATATATTCAAAATGATAATTATTATGATTACCAGGTTGATCAACAGGTGTTAATAGTGACCAAACTAAATTTCCAGCTGTACGTTCATCTTCTACGATTTTCATTTGATCCAGTTTAAATGAATGATTATCACTTTTTCTATCAGACAATTCTAATATACGAAATGCTAGAAATTGTGATAATAAAGCACAAGCATTCCATTTAATTTCTTTAATAGGCGATTTGAAACACCATTGAATCAATTCATGTGTCTATAGTATTAGGAATAAAAATAGAGAATAATAATAATAGAAATGTATAAGGTATTTTGATAGGTTGTAAAAGTACTATTTTTAATTTCACTCAACGGACTTATCCTACTACATAATATTGTTCGAATTAATGAAATATAAGCTATACAACGTTGAACATAAGATTTCAATAAACCCCATAGCTTGATTTTTTTTGAAATAGACAGAAATTACCGACATACTATGAAAACAAATTCAGATAAAAAACATGAGAAACGTTTTCGCCTTAGACGATTCAGATTGATAATACTGATACATAATAGTTTTACATTACAAGCAATAAATACGCTAATAATATAAATCAAGCAGCAAAAAAAAAGATTGATAAGCTATTGAATCAAAATTTTTAGCGTTTTATACTCAACAGCAAGGTCAATATATACAATTTAAGATAGAAGAAAATAGGACTATACATCCTTTCTTTATGATTTCACAATATTATCTCGATTGTCACGTGTCCTAAATAACATTGTTGGCCAAGTTTACCAAGTAAATCATATCTAGCATGAGTGTACTTTCAGAACTTGATCTCATTCTGGACGTTCTTGATTTAGAATCTATTGGCCGAATTCCATGTTATGTTTTTAATGACATTTTGGAAAAAATATCTTTCTTAAATATCGAATAGATTATGCAAAACGAGATTTATGAACAGTAGGTATAGTATTTGACGGTACTGAATAATACCATGATATAGAAGAATTTTACTTGACTAACAATCTATAGGCTTAGAGTATAAAATATTGTCATGTGTAAAATGAATGGTAGGTATCCAGAACTGATGACACTAGCATGTATTTTCAAAAGGTTTTTTATTTATACATATATAATTTTATCAAATAATATTATTATCTTGATATCAGAGTATATCTTTCAAGAAAATATAGTGTGCGTACATACATAGGGTAATGTGACTTTTGCTCAACATTTTTGGTATTCTACAAATAAATTATTAATTTTATAGTTGAATTCATGAGTCAATTAAAGCTAGACCACCATCGAAAACTTGGAAGCACTGGACGGTCGTTTAGTCCTATTATCGAACTCCTCAGTTGTGCGCATCCACGACCCCATCTCCCGAGATTCGAATCCAGGACCTATCGGTCTCGCGCGCGTGCGCCTAACCTCCAGACCACTGAGCTGTCCAACGTCCAACGGCATTTATGTCTAACTCCAAGCAAACCACGAAATTGAGCAACCGTCCATCCTTGTCTTCAGTGAGTTGCCATCTCACAACAGACCCTGTCAAACTCCACTGATCTTAGCTTCTCACTAGAACTCCATGGTGGTCTAGCTTCAATTGCCTCAACTATAAAATTACTAAAATCTCCACAATACCTCCTTCTGCGAATTAAGAATTGTTAATAATAAACTTTTGAAATATTACCTTCTATTACTTTTTCTGATATACTTCCATATTAACTTTCAGTTTTTTTCCCATATATTGGTAAACAATAGTTGACGTTTAACTATATTTAAATGTAATTGAAAGAGTGTATGTTTGTGTTATTCATAATATAGTGAACAGTTGTGTACACCTTAGATCACATCGTTATCATGGTTATATTTTGATAATTTGAAATGACTTGAAAATGAAATTTTACTTAATTATACCTAAACTACTCAATCCATGATTCCTGACTACTTTGAGAAATTAATAATGAAATTAATAACTGATTAGTTTTTCTAATTTGTACATTATGTTGCTAAGTGCTAATCTTAGTATGTCAGTTAATAATTGTGATCACGCAACTAATTAAAATGATAATATCACGAATCACTAAATATCATCAGTCACCTGTTGATGAAAGATATAAGTTAGAGATTACAGGATCACATTCTATGATAGCTGGTTCATAATAGCTTTATTGGCTCAGATAAATGTATAAATCGATTCTTTCAAATTGCATACTAATAGCATCAGTTCTGGATACCTACCATTCATTTTACACATGACAATATTTTATACTCTAAGCCTATAGATTGTTAGTCAAGTAAAATTCTTCTATATCATGGTATTATTCAGTACCGTCAAATACTATACCTACTGTTCATAAATCTCGTTTTGCATAATCTATTCGATATTTAAGAAAGATATTTTTTCCAAAATGTCATTAAAAACATAACATGGAATTCGGCCAATAGATTCTAAATCAAGAACGTCCAGAATGAGATCAAGTTCTGAAAGTACACTCATGCTAGATATGATTTACTTGGTAAACTTGGCCAACAATGTCATTTAGGACACGTGACAATCGAGATAATATTTTGAAAACATAAATGAAAGAAAATTGGTACAGTTGAAAAAAGTAAGCAAGAACAAGATATGATAAGACATAAAGTTCAGTCAACAATGAAATCATGTAAACATTTCTTCAGTGAAACAGTTTTTCCTTCTTTTCACAAATAATGTAATGGAAAACTACATTCAAATAGCCAATAGCTCCTATCATGAATCACGTCAAATTACGTCTCAATGCACTAAATTTAAACTATATCTATGACTCTAATCGGGGAACAGTGATAAACAAACAGATGCTAGAAGGATACAGCTTTCTTTTATACTGCGGTTCTATGTGATAAACTGAAAATTAACGATGAACGAACTATCTTTTGAAAAATAGTTAAAACTTGACTTATTTCAATGCGAAATAATCAATTAGACAGAAATTCAAAACAGTGGTTCCCTTTGATAAATTTGAACAGAGAAATGAGAAGACAAATTTTGTGAGATAGTACCATTTCGTGCTTTCTCGTCAGTCACATACAAGCAACATGTTATTCGTGTAAATACAGTTTTGAAGATAAGGTCAAAATTTCTTATTTAGCATGACATTCACTTACTAGAACCATGGTAAACAAAGGTCAACGTACAGTTGTTTTTGAACACATAAAGTTGGACTTTTCCGACCAATCAAGATAGCTTCGAGTAGTTTGAGTGTGTGTGGGTTTTGATGACATGTCACAACTCTAAAGGCTGATTTTGGGTCAATTTGATGACCACTCATCATTAGATGTTTTGCAATGGACGAGGCTGGGTTTCTTGATCGATCTTGAGATGACGGGCTAGGTGGATGAATCATGGATTTGATTAACCATCTTGGAATATGTTCCCCTATCCTGTCCTCCAATCGGCGATCTGTCCTACCTAAGTAACTTTCTCCGCAGTTACATGTGAATTGGTAAATACAGTGGGATTTGGACTGAATCGGTCTTGGAGACTTGATAGGGTTAACTGAGATCGACTGAGTTGTTGTGATGAGCCTCAGATTAGCTGCATTGAAGGTCTTTTTTATTGCAGCTGCAGTCTGTTTGGTTGTAATTTTCATGCAGTGATCACCCTTGAAAGGTAACTGTAGGTATACTGGTTTCTTGGGCACATCCGTTGCTATCAGTTTCGTCGTATTTGTGTTCTGATGACCAATAAACGTTTCAGGATATCCGTTTAATTTAAGTGTCTCAGTAATAAACTTAAATTCGTCGTCCAATGTATCTACAGTGCAGATTCTACTTGCCCGAGCGAATAAAGTTTTGACAATAGAACGTTTATATTGTATGGGGCAGAAACTAGTGAAGTGGAGGTACTGTCCCGACCAGGTGGGTTTGCGATGTACTCTGCGTCTGATCGATCCGTCTGGACGGCGATGGAGCAGGATGTCGAGGAAAGCTAGTTCATTATTGTTTTCTTCCTCATAAGTGACTTTCAGATTCGGGTGAATTGCATTAAATAAATCATTGACTTGATTAATATCTGTAGACTGTGGTAATATGACAAGAATATCATCGACATATCGTTTGTAAAGTGTAATACCATCAATGAATTGACTCACTTGCTTTTCTATCATTCCCATGAATATGTTTGCTAAAACAGGTCCGAGAGGGCTTCCCATAGCCACTCCATCGATTTGCATATATGCTTTACCTTGGAAATAGAATTTTATATTCTTTGTGCACAGCAAAATTAGATCTCGAAGATAGGTAGTAGGAATGGATATTCTTATGTTGTGTGAAGTTATGAAATCACAAATAAATTCCACAGTTTCTTCGAGAGGTACATTTGTGAACAAAGAGTTTACATCGAGAGAACACATTCGACTATTAGAAATATTCAAGTGTTCCAAGGTTGGGAGAAGTCCAAAAGAATCAATGACAGTATGTGTCGATAGTTGTTCACAAACAGGATCCAAAATTCCTTTCAACCATTTTGCTAGCTTATGGTATGGTGAATTTATCATGGACAAAATTGGTCTCATAGGTGTTCCAGGCTTATGCAGTTTCGGTAAGCCATACATTTCTGGTGTGCATGTACCAATGGGCTTGAGCATTTTATAATGGGCCTCGGTGATAAAACCGTGAAGCATGAGTAGATGTAGTTCTCGGCATATTTGTTTTTCGACCAACTTCACGTTATCGATCTGTGAATCTGATTTAAATTTAGCAGAGTCTGAGAGGATCGCGTTCATTTTGGTTATGTAGTCCTCCTTATTCATGACTACAACACCGGAACCTTTGTCCGGTTTGGAGATTGTTATTGTGGAATTGTTCTTAAGTTCCTTCAATGCTTCCCTGTGCTCATTCGTTAGATAAGATTTTTGGTTGATTGGAGTGTTTGCAAATTGCTGGGATATATCAACTAATTTGGCTTTGAACCATGCCTCATTCTCAGCTGATGTTGGAGTCAAATTTGAGAACTGGCTGTAGAGGTTTTCGAAATTGGCGTCCACCAAATTCTTGTCGATTCTTTTCGGTGGTACTTTATAGTTTAGTCCCATTGAAAGAGCTTCTAGGTGAACCTTGTCAAGACTGAAGTTAGATAAGTTATGAACACGTTCTGTGAGATTTTCTGGAAATTCTGAAATCGTTCGGGTCTTTGATAGCGACCGGTTGAGTTTCGTCCATGTTCGGTTCGCCGTTCTCTCTAATATACCTTTGCAGAAGTTTATTAGTTTGATATGGCAAAT